CTTTCCATGTTCAAAAGAATCTGAGGAGCCCCCAGTTCCTTCCTGTCCTGGAGCTGCATCATTCTAGCTTGAGGCTCTGTGGTCACCGAACTTCTGTTCTTATCTCTTTTTCCTGGGGTGGGCTTTCTTTTCTTTTTCTTGTTTTCTTTTTCTTTTCTTTCTTTCTTTCTTTCTTTCTTTCTTTCTTTCTTTCTTTCTTTCTTTCTTTCTTTCTTTCTTTCTTTCTTTCTTTCCCTTCCTTCCTTCCTTCCTTCTTTCTTTGTTTCTTTCTCTTCCTCCCTTCCTCCCTCCCTCCCTTTTTCTTTCCTTCTTTCTTTTCCTTCTTTCTTTCTCTTTCTTTCTCTCTTTCTCTCTTTTTTTTTTTTTTATATATGCCACCCTTCTCCGGAGACTCAGGGCGGCTTACAATGCGTTAAGCAATAGCCTTCATACTTTTGTATGTTTTATACAAAGTCAGCATATTGCCCCCACAAACCGGGTCCTCATTTTACCCACCTTAGAAAGGATGGAAGGCTGAGTCGACCTTGAGCCTGGTGAGAATTGAACTCGCAGTAATTGCAGGCAGCTGGATGTTAAATGCTGCTTTAGTAGGAGACATTAGCCTCCTATGCCACTCAGGCTCTTTCTTTCTCTCTCTCTCTCTCTCTTTCTTTTTCTTTCTCTCTCTCTTTTCTCTCTCTCTCTCTCTCTCTTTCTTTCTCTCTCTCTCTCTTCCTTCCTTCCTTCCTTCCTTTCTTGATATTTCCTTACATGCATCCTTTAGTCAACCTGCCTGAGAGGTCTGGCTGCAGAGGTCCAAGATAAGAAGCTCAAGGAATACAAGTTCGTGTAGGAGATGACCAAGGGAGGGGTCAAACATGTCATCAGTCTCAAGCCCCTTCACACCCACCAGAGACCTAAGTCCAGCCCACCTTGAATTCCGTTGAGTCTTATCTATCACCAATTTGCTTTGAACATTAATAGGTCCAATCCTTGTAGAAGGTGTCCGCATGCATTCAACCTGTATTTGTTCAAACCTCCTTGGCTGCTGATTTCTTGACAGTTCACCTCCACTCCAAAAAAGCATGTGGGGAAATTCCTTTCTTGAAGAGGGGGTTGATTCCACTGCTGTTTGCTTGTTCTTTTCAACTGCAGCCATTTTAATTGTTTTAAACAGATATTAGCCTTTAATCAGTTGTATGGCTTTCTGAGGCATTAGCAATTTCACTCACCCAGTCCAAATATAGAAAAACTGAACTATTATCTAAGCAGGCAACCCCTCCTCCCATTTATGGCAGTTACTGACAAAGAGGAGGGTGTAGCTTTAAACTCTCCCCTCCTTCCCCTCCTTCTTACCAGGACACAGCTGCATTTCTCCTTTATTTTACCTGCATTCAGGCTATAATACAGCAAGCCACCTGTATCTGTAGTAGAGAAAGCTATGAGTTTTTGCAGCTTCACCCAGAATATTGCGACCTTCTCCCCCCCCCCCCCCCAACTCTAGCAGACCCAGGAAATTAATAAAGGAGAATATTTGTAGCTCAGGATTGACATGAGGGGGGTCCTTGGTGCTCTCTGAGCTTGGTTGTTTTCTTGCAGATGTTTCATTACCTAAACTAGGTAGCATCATCAGTGTTAGTAACTAACACTGAAGATGTTACCTAGTTTGGGTACTGAAACAGCCACGATGGCGCAGTGGTTAGAGTGCAGTACTGCAGGCTACTTTCAAGTTGTTCCAAGTTTCCATCTGGAGATCTGCAACAAAGGAATCTTTCCCTTACATCTGTTCCCTCAAAGACAACCCACACCTTTCTAAAGGGAGAATGGGGATATGGCTTAATGATGCTGGAACTGTTGGCTAGAAATACTGTACCATGAGCCTCGGTGGCGCAGTGGTTAGAGTGCAGTACTGCAGGCTACTTCTGCTGACTGCCGGCTGCCTGCAATTTGGCAGTTCGACTGTCACCAGGCTCAAGGTTGACTCAGCCTTCCATCCTTCGTAAAATGACGACCCAGTTTGTTGGGGACAATATGCTATTCTGTAAACCGCTTAGAGAGGGCTGTAAAGCACTGTAAAGCGGTATATAAGTCTAAGGGCTATTGCTATCTGCACGGAAACAAGCAAACTCAGAGAGCACCAAGTACCCCTCAGAGCCAGGAAGATACGATATAGAATTCCATTCAGACCTCTCCGGTCATTTGGACAATGAAAGCATACTGTGATGTTGCTGGACAGAGAGTCCCCACTTCTGAAATTTTGAGCGTGTGAGTGGAGGTGGCTCAGAAGGAGATGGTCTCCCCTTCTGCATCCCTGAGGCAGCGGTAGTCTAGTGGGTGGCACCTGCCTGGCTGAGGCTCACAGGAGCTGGACTTGGCTCAGGGCAAAGTCATTCAGCCTCCTTGGAGTTTTTCTGGCTCAGGTTTTGAGGTGGGTTTGCCTGACAGCCTCTGGTACCCTTGCTGCTGTAGGGACTTCTGCCCCACATGGATATCCTCTAACGAACATTTAGGGTGTGACATTTATTAGTTCAATTTATATATGCCGCCCTTCTCCGGAGACTCAGGGCGGCTTACAATGCATTAAGCAATAGCCTTCATACTTTTGTATATACCTGCTTAGTAGGGCTTTTTGGCCCCCCTGAGCGGTGTTCTATTTTATACAAAGTCAGCTTATTGCCCCCACAAACTGGGTCCTCATTTTAGCTACCTCGAAAGGATGGAAGGCTGAGTCAACCTTGAGCCTAGTGAGAATTGAACTCGCAGTAATTGCAGGCAGCTGACAGCTAAGTACTACTTTAACAGCAGTAGTTTAGTCCACTGCGCCACCCAGGCTCTATATATCATATCACCCAGACATGATAGCAGTGTTCTAATATCTAGTCCTGGTGGCAGAGTGGTTAGAATGCAGCATTGCAGGCTAATTCTGCCCCCCTGCCAGTAGTTCGATCCTGACTGGCTCAAGGTTGACTCAGTCTTCCATCCTTCCGAGTTCAGTAAAATGAGGACCCAGATTGTTGGGGGCAATATGGTGACTCCGTAAACATCTTAAGGAGGGTCTGTAAAGCAATGTGAAGCGGTATATAAGTCTAAGCGCTATTGCTAAGTGCTATCGAAGGGGTTGCCCCAAAGAAGCAGGAGTCAACCTATTCTCCAAAGCACCTGAAGGCAGAACGAGAAGCAACAGATGGAAACTAATCAAGGAGAGAAGCCACCTAGAACTAAGGAGAAATTTCCTGACAGTTAGAACAATTAACTAGTGGAACAACTTGCCTCCAGAAGTTGTAAATGCTCCAACACTGGAAGTTTTTAAGAAGAGATTGGACAACCATTTGTCTGAAATGGTATAGGGTTTCCTGCCTGAGCACGGGGTTGGACTAGAAGACCTCCGAGGTCCCTTCCAACTCTATTATTCTATATTCTACTTTCGCCTGACCAGCCACCTTTTAAGTACATTTATAAAAATGTTGTGGGAAAAACATCCCTTTTCTTGCAAAGGCAACTGAATGGTGATAATTCGTTCGGGCACATCTTTTTGCAATTCATAAAATTTATTGCCCTATCCGCTGGCTCTTAGGAACCTTATAAAATCTGGTCCATTCAGAGCATTGGTACTGTCCGTACTGTTACCGCCACTATTACCTATTGCATGAGGGTTTATGCCATAAACACAATAAGGATCTGGAGGGTACCGGAGGAAGGTGCAGAGAGTCTGGATGGCAAACTTTCCGGAATCTAGAAATGGAAAAATAGCTGCTGGAATTAGGGGAAGGGCCACCAAAGGGGGTAGACAAAGCAGAATAACAAAATAACAGAGTTGGAAGGGACCTTGGAGGTCTTCTAGTCCAACCCCCTGCTCAAGTGAGAAACACTGCAACAATCCAGACAAATCATTGTCCAATCTCTTCTTAAAAGCCTCCAGTGTTGCAGCACCCACAATTTAACAAGTTAACAGAGTTGGAAGGGACCTTGTAGGTCATCTAGTCCAACCCCCCACCCAAGCAGGAGACCCTACACCATTTAAGACATTTAATGGCAGTCCAATCTCTTCTTGAAAGCCTCCAGTGATGAAGCTCCCACAACTTCCGAAGGCAACTTCTGTTCCATGGGTTGATTGTTCTCACTGTCAGAAAGTTCCTCCTCATTTCTAGGTTGAATCTCTCCTTGGTCAGTTTCCACCCATTATTCCTTGCCTGGCCTTCAGGTGCTTTGAAAAATAGGTTGACCCCTTCCTCTCTGTGGCAGCCCCTCAAGTATTGGAACACTTCTATGATGTCTCCCCTGGTCCTTCTCTTCACTAGACTAGCCATGCCCAGTTCCTGCAACCCTTCCTCGTATGTTTTATCCTCCAGTCCCCTAATCATCTTGGTTGCTCTTCTCTGCACTCTTTCTAGAGTCTCAACATCTTTCTAGAGGCAAGTCGTTCCACTGGTCCGAGCATCACCGGAGAAACCTCAAGGACCGAACACGGACACGTTATCATCTGAATCGGTTTAGAAAGTAAAAGCGAAGCGCCGACTCTACTCTTATTCTAGGAATGGAGAGGAAGGGAAACCGGGAGGGAGAATGGGGGCGGAGGAAGCGCTCCCAGAAACCAGGAGCGGAGACCCCGATTTTCTCCGCTGTCTGGCAGTCCGTCACCCCGCGGGGAGTGGATCTTTCCCACCCTCTTTCGCTCCACGTTCCCGCGCGACGGCCCCGGCCAATATCCGCCTCTGCCAACCCAACCAAGCCAGGCTCCTCCCCAGGAGGGTCGCGGCAGTCCACGGGAGACACGCGGGGCAGGACGCCACCGCAGCCCGCGCTCCTCCCGGGTCTCGCGTGGGAGTCACGGGGGGGGGGGTCCGGAAAGCGGCTGCAGCGTCCTTGTGCAAGCGCCGCTGCCCGGCATCCTCCAAAGCAGAGGCGCGCGGCCAGGGTGGGCGCTCGGGCTTGGCGACCGCGGTTCCGCGCAAGAGAGGAGGCAGCGCGCAGGGAAGCGCCCGAGCGACGTCAGCCTCCGGCCGCCTCCGGCTCCTCCGTTCGCTCCTCCCGCCGGTGGCAGCGCGGCGGAGCTACATAAAGCCAAGCCCCCGCCGCCCGTGCTTTGGCTCGCCGGCAGTGCCCGGAGGCCGCAGCCCAGCGGAGCCACGCGCAAAAATTAAAAAAGAACGCAGAGCCGTCGGGGTCTGCGGAACAGCAGCTCGTTTCAAAGCGGACGGTCGCAGAGCTCGGGGAGCCTCCTCGCCCGGGACCACCGGCATGGCTTTAGCCGACAGCGCCCGGGGGCTCCCCAACGGCGGAGGAGGAGGCGGCGGGGGAGCCCGGAGCGGCGTCCCTCGAGCTCCAACGGCCTCTGAGCCGGCCTCGTCCCCGTCGTCGGGTCCCATCCCGGAGATCGTGGAGCTGAACGTGGGCGGACAGGTGTACGTGACCCGGAGAGGGACGGTGCTGTCGGTTCGCGGCTCCCTGCTGTGGCGCCTCTTCTCGCAGCAAGAAGCCACCGACCTGCCCCGCGACGCCAAAGGCCGCTTCTTTCTGGATCGCGACGGCTTCCTCTTCCGTTACATCCTGGACTACCTGCGCGATCAGGAGCTGGTCCTGCCGGAGGGTTTCCCGGAGCGCAACCGTCTGCGCCGCGAAGCCGAATACTTCCAGCTCCCCGAGCTGGTGCGCCGTCTGGCGGCCTCGGGATCCTCTCCGGCCCTGCCGCCGCCGTCTTCTCGCTTCGCCGGGATGCTGCGCGACTCTTCGGTGTGCGGGGACGACCCGTCGGGAGGGCTGGGCTACTTAGAAGCGGACTTCACCGAGACCCCGGCCTCGGCTGCCTCGCCAACTTCGGGCCGGAGCCCGTCGGGGCCGCCTCCGATGTTGGCGACTTCTCTCTCTCTGGACGCCGGCGGGGGCGTCGCGGGAGGACGCCGCTCGGGGTACATCACCATCGGCTACCGGGGCTCCTACACCATCGGTCGGGACGCGCAAGCCGATGCCAAGTTCCGTCGGGTGGCGCGCATCACGGTCTGCGGCAAGACGGCGCTGGCTAAAGAAGTCTTCGGGGAGACGTTGAACGAGAGCCGAGACCCGGACCGGCCCCCCGAGCGTTACACCGCCCGCTACTACCTCAAGTTCAACTTCTTGGAGCAGGCCTTCGACCGGCTGAGCGAGGCCGGCTTCCGCATGGCCGCCTGCTCCTCCACCGGGACCTGCGCCTTCGGGCCCGAGCAAGGCGGCCCCGCCGAAGACAAGATCTGGACCAGCTACACCGAGTACGTCTTCTGCCGCGAGTGAGCCCGATGCCCGTCCCCGGACGGTGGGGAGGGGGTGGAGGGGAGAGAAGAGGGCCGTCGGCGGGGCTGTTGCGGGAGAGACAGGTCCGGTCCTCGCCGGAGAACCCCGCTTTGCCCTTTCCCACGGGCGCCCCTTCCCCCCCTCTCTTGTCGGTGCCCTCCCCGTCCAGCAAAGCGGCTCTTTCAGGCGGCCTTTGGACCAGAACTGCGGACCTCCATCAGCGGGTCCTTGGGTCAAAGTGGTGCCCCCTGCTCCAGTTTAAAGCAGCCCCCTCCGAACAAGATTCCGTCCCCCCGTGGCGAGGGGAGCCCCCCCCCCCCCCTCTGTTCCCAGACGGGGGCCCGCTGCTCCTGGGGAGGCTGGCGGGCGATGGAGACTTTAAGCTGGCCTCCTCTGCTCAACGTTGCCCGAGCTCGGTTGCTGCCTTCCCCTCTTGACTCAGAGGCCGACGGCTTTGCTGCTGCTGCTGCACCCAGCTCCCCCTCTCCCTCCTCGAAAAAATCCGCTACCCCCGGTTGCTTCTTAGCTTTGGGCCCTGGAGAACGAGAAAGCCAGCCAGCGAGCGGAGTGGGGGGACTCCGTTCCACCGGCATCCGAGCGCCTCGGCCTCTTGAAGCAGCATCTCCCGTCGGACGCCGCTTGGGAACTCGGAGGGTGGCCCAGCTCTCCTCCCTTCCTCGGTAACCAGAAGGCGAGCTTTGCGCACTGCATCGGCAGACTGGGGGGGGGGGGGCTGAGGTGGGGGGGGGGCGCGGGGTCCCCGATCCGGGCTGGAAAAAGCAGACCTCCGTTGGAGCGATCGCGTCCCCCCTTCCTCCACGCAGGATTCCGGGGATTGAACCCCCAGGCCTGCAGCCTCTTAGGGTTTTGAAAGAACCTGCGGATGGGTCGTCGAGGGAGGTGGGGGGGCAGGTTGCTGAAATGGGGTGCTTTCAGAACGAGGCTGAGGGGGGGGGGCGTCGCCTCCCCAAAGGCATCCGGGACACGAGGCTGAAATCCCCCCTCCCCTCCTCATCCTCTTCCTCAGTATAGAAATAGGAGTCTGTGCGTGCTTGAGGAGCTGGCTGATGGTGCTACATCTAAAGAACCCCCCCAAAAAGTATTTTTTTCCCCAGATCAGGATGCAGAATTTTAACTAAAGACAAGCACAACAGCAGGACACCTCTCTCCCTCCTTCCCTCCCTCCCTCCTCCTTTGATTTCATCTTTTTGGCAATTTAAGCACCAAGGCCACAGGTCTAAATCAGATCTTTCTTGCCTGATTCCCAAATAGGGGATGTGGTGCAATTTAATCTCCTAGTAATCCTTCAAAATTAGGTTTAACACATAACAGTGTTTTGATTCCTGCATTGGAGTTAACAGACTCGGATGAGTTATTCTAACCAAAGAATTCTCCCGTGTTTTAATTTTTTTTCTCCCCTTCCCTTTTGCTTGAGGTTAATGCTTTTTATTTTTTAAGAGCGTGAGATGATTTTAATCCAGGGTTTGCCTATTAGAGATTTTTTTTTTAAAAGAAAGGATCCTCGGGTTTTAGTCTATGTGCATAAAGAGAAAAGGGGAAAATAATTGAGATTCAAGTAGGTCTCATTCATTCCTGATATTTTTGTTTCTTAAGAAACCAGAAATGCTGGCTTAACTGGCTTGCTTACTAAACCAGAATCTTTGTAAAAACCTTGATTCCTGGTTTGTTTGCAACAGCAAGCCTGTTTTGTTTCTCTTTCTAGTTCAGGAAGAGACCGGAGGATTCTTATTTGCTGGACCACATAATCCTTTAGAGTGCATCTCCCTTCATGAGTGGGAACCTGCTTAGTGATTTAAAAAAAACCCGAAACTTTTAGGAGTCAGGCTGAACAAAAGCTGCTTTTCAAAACAACTGGATTTTCTTCGGGGGGGGGGTTCCCTTGAAAATGTCTTGCTTCTCATCCGAGAAGTTCTGAACTGAAGAAGCTTCTTGGATGAGAAGTTAAATGTTTTCAAGGAAAAAAACAAACAAACCCAAGTCAGTCTAGTTGCCTTTTGCGGGGAAAAAAAAAAAACACCTTTGGGACAAACATGACCTGAAGGATTGAGAATCTCCATAGACAAATTCTAGCTGAAGTTTTATTTAAAAAAACCCAGTCACCTTTACCCCAATGCTGAAACATTTGAGTCTGGTAGCTTCATTTAGTTGGAACTGTCTGTAAATTGGGAGTTGGGGTTATTTTTTGAAAGACAGCAAGGGAGAGTGAGTGAGTATGGTGTAGGGTCTCCTGCTTGAGTGGGGTGGAATGGGGGGTTGGACTAGATGATCTATAAGGTCCCTTCCAACTCTGTGAATCTGGAGAGAGAGAGAGAGGGAGGGAGGGAGGGAGGGAGGGAGGGAGAGAGAGGGAGAGAGGAGACAATTTTTTTAAAAGGACAAGCAATAAGCTACTGCATCGTGGAGAGCTTCCAGAAAAGAGATCTATCCCTCTTACTCTAAGCCTTACTCTAAAACCATCCCATTTGTGCATACTTCAGCTCTGTTGCAATGGAGAAGATATTGGTTGAAATTCAATGTTACGACGTCATCCCCAAAAGGCGGTTGTAAGACTTTTCTAATACATGTGGAGTATTTCTCTCTCTGAACTATATTTTCTAAATTTTTGTAAACAATCCAGATTTCAGTAAGTGCTTAAATTAGTTCTAAGCTTTCTTTTTTTTTTTCCTGTTTTGTTTTGTTTTTAAATAAATCTTGTACTGTAGCTTATTAAGTCTGTCCCGGTTGTCATGAACGGAGGTGTTTTGAACTGAATTTTGTGACTCGGTGTGTGTACATAAAGTGTATAAACATTTTACACGAATCATTTAGTTTTTTATTCATTTATTAGTGCTATATCTAAAAAAAAAACTTTCATATGCTGTAAACTGTACCTGGGCATAATGCTTTAATATGAAACTGTGTTCCTGTATTGATTTATATGGGGAAGACTTCAGTATGAATATAAATGGAATTATGAAAATATTGTCTGTCTACAATTATTTGCTTGAAGTTGAATCAACAGCTAAATTCGTTGTGAAGCTAAAACACATCCCTTCATTTTGCAAAATGCCTACAGGAAGACACTTGCATTTTGATCAATGAATGTGTGTTTGCTAGCAGACTAATTCTAAAGCTCCTATTATTATTTTTTTAAAAAAATAAAACAGATATAATAAAATAACCGGAGGTTTCTAATGGTTGTGCTCTGGGTAATGAACACTGCATGAGCTAAATACTTAGCAACAGCGTTTGAGGTCCCTCAGACCATCTGGAGAAAGTAGAGGCTATGAGAAGACTTAAGAAGAAGCGATTTGGACAATGTGAAAAACCAGCCCGTTTCTGCTACTCATTAAAGCAGCCAGTTAAGCTTTCCAACATGTTATCCATCAATTGCCCCAACTACTTCCTCTGAGAATCTTTATAGATTCTCAGTCATACATGTTGTCCAGGGGTGGGTTCTAAATTTTTTTACTACCGGTTCTGTGGGCATGGCTTATTTTGTGGGTGTGGCTTGAAGGTCGTGTGACTAGGTGGGCATGGCTAGCTGGTCAGAGTCATTTCTGGAAGGTCCTCGCACTTACGAGCCGACTCATTTGTTTGCTTTTAACACTGATCAGCTGTAGGACGGCCCTTTGAAGCCCCGCGGCAAGAGTTTAAACAGTTTTTTTTCCCTCTAGTCATCAGCTGGGACTCAGGAGGCAGCAATAGATTGGGGGTGGGACCAAATAAAAGGTAAGAATAACGTGGGGGGGTAAGAATAACGTGGGGGGTGGGAGGGGGGGGGGGGGAGAACCGGTTCGGTGATGTCATATCATCACCGGCTTGGCCTAACCGGACCGAACTGGGAGGAACCCACCACTGATGTTGTCCCAAAGGTGCTTTTTTCAAGAGACAACGGGACTTTCTTGTTTTTTTCTTTTGAAGACGTTTCGCTTCTCATCCAAGAAGCTTCTTCAGCTCTGACGGGATAGTGGGGAATAGAAGGATTTATATTCCTTGCGGTCAGTTGGCCCTTTGCATCCTTTTAGAAGGTTGCTGAGGCCACTTGGAGGTTTATCTGTGTCCTCAGGGTCACCTGAATAGTGCAAATGGTTCCTTTAGTCTGCAATTTCTTTCTCTGGAAATCCATTCCTACTTCCACCCCATTCAAAGGGTGTTTATCCCAAATTGCATAGCTAAAAGTCTGTAGAGCTTCTCAGTCATCGAGGTCATGGTTGTCCCAAAGGTGCCTTTTCAGGAGGCAACAGGACTATCCTGTTTTTTCTTTTGAAGACCGTTCCCTTCTCATCCAAGAAGCTTCTTCAGCTCTGACAGGACAGTGGGGAATGGAAAGATTTATATTCCTTGCAGACAGCTGGTCATTGGCATCCTTTTAGAGCCGTGATGGAGAACCTATGGCACGCCTGCTAGAGGTGGCATGCAGCACCCTCTCTGATGGCATACAAGCTGTCATCCTAGTTCAGCTCCACCACGCATGCATGTCCCGCTAGCCAGCTGGTCTTCAGGTCTCTGCCACGCATGCGGGTGGGCATGTGGGGGGGGGGCTGGGCATGCACGCATGGGGGGCAGGGCTGGGCAGGTGTAAGGGGGTATGTGCATGCATAGGGTGCACACATATTGCATTTTGGGGGTTTGCGTGCGCATGCATGCACTTTGGGCATTCAGTCTGGAAAGGGTTAGCCGTCACTGTTTTAGAGGGTCGTTGAAGCACTTGGAGGTTCCTCGGAGAGCAGCTGTGGCCAACGTTTAGGGTTGAGGATGTTCGTGCCCTGGGCATCTTGAGTGACTTCTGTAGCTGCTTCCTGATTTTCAGTGGTGAAGATTTGATTGCTGCAGGATCTTTTGAACCGTTTCTTTCAGGTTCCTCCTTAGGGCCTCTCTTGATGCAGAATTTTCAGGATTCCCCCTAACTATAGTTCCATTTCAGTATGTTCTAGGGATCCAAACACACCTGTTGGAAGGCCCTAGTTGCCTGCCCACTCCTGGGAGGGTTTTAAGGCACAACCAGGGATGGGTTCTAAATTTTTTTACTACCGGTTCTGTGGGCATGGCTTATTTTGTGGGCGTGGCTTGATGGTCATGTGACAATTATTTAGGATTTAGCAGAGGTACTAGTCTACCAGGCTTTTAACTGCTTGCAGAGCTGTACCGATCTACCTATTTATTTTTTGCAGGCACTGATCTACTCATGTATTTTTGCAAGCATTGGTCTACCCATTTATTTTTGCAAGCATTGGTCTACCCATTTATTTTTGCAGGCACTGATCTACTCATGTATTTTTGCAGGCACCGGTCTACTCATTTGTTTTCTTTTAACACTGATGAGCTGTAGGGCGGCCCTTTGAAGCCACGCGGCAAGAGTTTAAACAGTTTTTTTCCCTCTAGCCATCAGCTGGGACTCAGGAGGCAGCAATAGATTGGGGGCGGAGCCAAATAAAAGGTAAGAATAACGCAGGGGTGGGTGGGTGGGTGTGGGGGGCAGAACTGGTTCGGTGACATCATATCGTCACCGCTTCCGGCTCGGGAGAACCGGGTCGAACCAGGAGGAACCCACCACTGGGCACAACCTCAAAGGTTAAAAATAAAACCCCCTCTCCAGGTGTGGACCTGTCAAGGAAGAGCTTCAGGAAGGCCTGCTTCGTGTTGGGAAGGAGACGTGATGGAGGAGATGGGGGGAGATTCTGCCCCAAGGCAGCCTGAGTTTGGAGTACCTGGCTCCATTCTTCCTTGGGTCATGAGTGCAGCCAGCCTTGCTCTACGATCTTTGTGATAAACCAAATTTTCCTTCTGTGGGGTAACGTTCATTTGCTCTTTTACCTTTTAAGGCAGGGGTGAAATCTACTTACCTTCCTTACCAGTTCGGAAGTGCACACATGTGCGCGCATCAAGTGCACCAGAGGTGGGTTGCAGCAGGTTCTGACCAGTTCGGGAGAACCGGTAGCGGAAATTTTGAGTAGTTCGGAGAACCGGTAGTAAAAATTCTGACTGGCCCCACCCCCATCTATTCTCTGCCTCCCGAGTCCCAGCTGATCGGGAGGAAATGGGGATTTTGCAGTAACCTTCCCCTGGATTGGGGAGGGAATGGAGATTTTACAGTATCCTTCCCCTGCCACACCAACCAAGCCACGCCCACAGAACCGGTAGTAAAAAAATTTGAAACCCACCACTGATGTGCATGTGCACATCTTCTACACATGCGCAGAAGGTAAAAAAAACATTACTTCCTGGTTAGAAGCAGTAAGTAATGACACCCGGGTGGCGATCGCTACCGGATCACCGAATCACAGGGAAAAATTGCTACCAGATCGGGTGATCCGGTCCAATCCAGAAGCATTTCACCCCTGTTTTAAGCTATTTCTAACTTTATTATTTATTAAGTTGATGTTTTGCTTGCATTTTCTTTTCTCGCCACAGTCCTTTTCACTTAATCATTCCATTTTTGTGTGTCCTATTCCTCATTCAGAATAATGCATAATTCCCCCTCTGGCTCTTACACTGTCATCATAGGCAGAAAGGTAATATGCAACAATCACCAATGTATTCTTTGATTCACATCCACGACAATCTTGATGATACCAATTTGTACCAGGTGGTCCCTTTGTGCAAAAATTAAAGCTACATTTTCTCTTCTGTAGGCATCAGTTTTGCTCCAGAAGATCAAGTCCCTTTCAGCTAACTTTTTATTTATTCTTAATGTTACAGACACAAATCCTTTTCTTTTTTCTTTTTGGTAGAAAAAGCAGTCGTTCATGCCATATACATAATTTCTTGCTAAGGATAAAGCCAGCGAGAGTCACATTGATCTTATTTGATCATCACTGAGTTTGGTGATTGGCGAACCACTTCTCTGAAATGGTATAGGGCCATGATGGTGAACTTATGGCACGCGTGCCCAAGGTGGCACACAGAGCCATATTTCTGGGCATTCAAGCTGTCACCCAACTAACCTTCAGCTGCGCATGTGCATGCATGCCCCAGCTGGTATTCCGGCCTCCGGTGTGCATGCGTGCAATTCAGGGGACCCAGCTAGTCTGGAGAGTACTTGCGCACAGCACATGCATGCGTAGATGGAATTTGTGCATATGCATTGCATGCATGAAAATCGCACGCATGCACAGTGGAACGATTGTGCATGCAGCGCATGGGGGAGCCACATTAAACCTCCATGCATGCACAGATAGCACAATTGCCCACGCAGCACATGGGGGGAGCCACGGGCATCTGCAGATGGTGCGGTCATGTGCACAGCACAAGCGGGAGTAGCTGCACATTAGCGCGCATACCATGCATATGCGCAAAACGCACACCTGTTTAGCACTCGGTGAGTAAAAGGTTCGCCATACTGGTATAGAGTCTCCTGCTTAAGCTCAGGGTTGGACTAGAAGACTTCCTAGATCCCTTCCCACTCTGTTATTTTGGTCCCAAGAATAACAATAAACCAGTTTTAACCCCCAACTCATCACACTATTCTGGGCAAGCTGAAAATGTTGAGGCTGTAGGTGTAGAAGGCATGGTAGAAGTGGAATAAAGTGAAATACACATGTTCAATGTTTCTAGAAAAGCTTTAACACTCTGCCTGTGTTTTGTGTGTGTGAGCTGACTGCATCAGTGCCTGATGCTCGGAAGAAGGAAATTGTCACTCACCTGGATGAGTGGAAAGATTGCAGGTTTGTGGAGAGATGCCAGGAGCTTGCCTTGTGTGGTGGGGCTGGGAAGGGCTTTTGCAGAGGGTCTATGACAACTCGGCACAGCCAACTCACTGCGGGACAAGAGTTACACTAATATCAAAGAAATGGTGGCATAGATTCATTAGAGAAAGGTTTCAAAAGGAGGGACAGAACCAGTGGTAAAATCCATTTTTTTTTTACTACCGGTTCTGTGGGCGTGGCTTGGTAGGCGTGGCTTGGTGGGCATAGCAGGGGAAGGATACTGCAAAATCTCCATTCCCATCCCACTCCAGGGAAAGGATACTGCAAAATCCC